GTTTATTATAACTAAACATTAATTATTAATTATTTATCAATAATAAATTATTTTGATCCACTTTCGGCTGCGGTTGTATAAGTGTCTTCGGCATGGGTGGGAAACGGCGATTAATAATATGACGTGTGTGTGTGTGTGTGTGTTGTTCTGTTCTAAAGACAAATGTTAGTTATGAGCATAATGTTCCAAAGACAAATGTGAGTTATAAACGTAGTGATTACATTCTCTTTGGTTATGAGCTGGTACTATCAGATGCATGACCTTTGCCGAGAATAAGAAATATAGACTCCAATAAATTGTTTTACTTGAAGGAGAATTTTTGGTAAAATTGAGGAAAAATTGATTGCTACAAGTGTGTTCTCAACTTTATTTCTTAGGAGCAAAGGGGTAAAAATTTCTGAGTGTAAATAAAATTACGGAAATATAGAGCTATCGAAAACAGTAACATGATGACTCACTTGGATCCGTATATGATTACCGCTCAATTTACCTTCATGGTCTTCAACATATTGCGGTTATTGTGTCGACTGTCCAGTAACCGTTATCCAAATATGAAGTGTAAATGAAGTAACAGAATAAAATTGAACACAACTATGTACAAAAGATACTACTCAGTGTTGATTTAACCGCTTCGAACAAACAAAAATAAGTTAACCAAACAAAAAAAATCATAGTCAATGCATTAGTGATGGCAGAATTTTATCATTGTTTTGTGATCCGGCGAGAATCGAAGATAATTTTGACTAAAATGAAACAGTTAATAAGCCTCAAAACACTGACGAAAAAAGGGAATGATGAGATCAAATTACATGGATTAGATCGTTAATTATAAAATTAATGAATAAACGATAGTGTAAACATTTGTTTATTAATTATTTAATTAATTATTCCGTGATTATCAAGTCCAAAATATCCGTGTTTGAATAAAAGATTAGAAAGTTTTCGGTTATGCGAATTACTTTATTATCGTGACGTTTAGTTCAGTTTCCATCCAAATCCAAATCATCCAAAATAAGGAATCCAGAATAATAATGACATTATTATGATATTTTTGGGGCCGTTATTCGTTAGCATTGACTTGCCCGATTACACGATCATGGTCTGAGCCATATTCGCTTATCTTATTGCTTTACTTTTCTACATGTTCTATCTGCCTCTTAAAATATATGTCGTTAGCTTGTTATCCTTAACATTTCAAATCGTCAAATAGAAATTTATTCATTATAATCATTGATGGGATAAATAAATTCGTCACATTTATAATTTCTTTTTTCGATAAAAACATTGATAAGATTATGATGCTTGAAGACAGACCGATGGGTCGAAATAAAATTCGGCATAGATAGTTCAAGTTACAGATCAAAAGGTTATCTCTTAACCAGGTCGTAGGTTCCGGTTTCTGGAATGTAAAATAAAAATTAACAGATAGTGATTATGAAATAGTCACACTAAGAAGAGTTGGTACTGTTCAATTGACTTCGTTTAATTTTTTATAAACTAAATACAACGTTGAATAACTTGGCAAACAGGTATTATCGGGTAAATTACCTGCTAATTTTCGATTTCCCCACATGTAATATTAAGTAAAATTAAAAAACATGACATCGACAATCTGCTTTTTTGTAAATTTGTGAAAGTCGCACATTAATATAAACCCAGCGACACATCATTCATGAAAATCGGTTTGGCCATTTAGCAGTTACGAGGGAACAAGGGTGAATATACGGAGTAGGGAAAACTGTTTTCTCTCTTCCGTGATTGAACATACATACATACAGATCAACAATAGTTCTTTCGTGTCTTCGCCGTAGTTGGATAAAATGAAACTTCGGACGTTATGGGTCCAAACTTAATCATCTTATTGCTCTTCTCGATATAATTATCTCTTACATCTAATTACGCCACGGATTATTTTACTCTCAAGTTAGCTTCAGAAATTTTAAGTAATAAAGAAGACGACATATTATGCGTCGGTCGTAAAATATCGTTTTACAAAAAAATATTCTGCATTACTTCTTCATAAACGTTGTTTTGTAGTTGTAAAGGACAGAGGTGCTGGCCATTACTGTTCTTCAAAGGTTTTTATTGCTTGTATAGCAATTTACAAGGGATATTTGAAAGTGCAGGTAGTGAATAATAAGACACTTCGTTTATACTTGATGTTTTAATATATGTTTATTAACTATAATACATTATAAACAGTACTTATAGTAATGATGACTCATAAAGTAGTTACAAAATCTATAACAATATTGTTTGGTATTCTTTAACTTATACTAAAATATAAACATAAGAAAATTATGGTTAAGTATAAAATTATCAAATATTCACAAGTTTTCGAAGGAGTTAATTCTTAAATTAACTTGTTCTGTTAAAAGAGAATTCAATCGAAATTAAATGAATCTAAAAGTAAAGTAACAGCCTATTAAATGTATAGCTACAGCTAGCGACCGGTTTTACGGTGGTAGGGCCACGCTGCAGCCCCGGTTGTTGCACGAATGGGCAGGCTCGTCCGGGTAAGTACCACGACCTCCAGAAGACTGGCGTAAAGTGGAATTATAATACTTTCGCGTTTCGTCTAGTGAGTGAGGTGCCCGGAGGCCAATTCTCAACAGGTTCTCAACGCATCTGGAACCCTCGGGTGTAGTAGATTTTCATGGGCGGCGGTATTAACTTAGGTGGTTACATCAGGTGAACCGTCTGCTCGCTTGGCAACTTTTCACAAAAAAAAAAACCAAGGTCTCTGTATAGAGGGTGTTAGGGCATAGTCCACCACGCGTTCCCACTGCGGATTAGCTGACTTCACATACCTTCGTAATATTTTTTGTTATTATTTCGAAATTATGCAGGTTTCCTCACGATGTTTTCCTTCACCGCTGAGTACGTGCTAAGTTAGTTGAACTGGATATAATCGAGTACAATGAATTAAATCTGTAATGTAAACACAAGATCATCTTATTTTCTCTCAACATGTCTGTTCATTAATAGCGGCATAAGGCCGCAATAAACGCAGAAGTTACTTAACCTTGTTTAGTACTCGTGTATCTACATTTACATATATAGGCTGACTTTCTTTTGATACTTACATAAAAACTGGGAATATTTTATATATTATTATCTTAAATAAAAAAGTCATTATTCAATTTTAACATATTATAAAATATTAATTAATTCCTTATTTACTTTTAACTAATAGAAATGTATTACTGTGAAGTTGTTGTTAAAGTTGCTATAAAACTTCTACAGTTTACTCACTCCGCGGCGTAACCAATTGCCAAAGCATCGTATTAATGGTCACTTTTTTGGTCATTAAGATATTATAAATAACATATGACAGTGCTATAAACAATTTTAACCGGATCCGATTTGGTTTTCCTGGAAGCAAACGAACCTAATTCAATTAGCGACTACGTATTAGCTGATTTTTGATATTATTCTTTATAATTCCAGTATCAGTTGACGCTATTTATTATGCCATTAATAAGTGTTCTTCGTAATAAATATACGAAATGAAACATGGAAAATAACCCATGTTCTATGTGAATACCGCGATATAAATGTCCTAATCCTATCCTAATTTGTTTACATTTTTAATTGACTTGAAACAAACTTAACCTCTGATTTTATTGAAAATTGGAGAAATTTCCGTTAATACGTTTTTAGCCAACTTTAAGTAATCATAATATACTTTAATATTCAATATTTGTTTTTATTTACACATTTTAGAAAAGAAAAGTTAAACTTTGTACACTTTAGTGTTATTTAAAGTACGTAATGAAAAGAGTAAAATAATAATTCCGTCTAAACAGAGCTTTTTTTGAAAACTTCTCACTCATTTTAATTACGGTCGCAAAAGCTAAGATTCATAATGGTAGGACTTGTTTATATCTACGTAGAAAGGTTCTGGCATTCTAGTAACTTTGCAATATTAAGAGGCTGAATAAATTAAAGAAAAATAAAACTACACTTTTCTTCGCTTGAGTATTTTTATATAAAATGTTCCTTTATAAAGATACCTACACAATAAATTGAATAATTTATTAATAAACAATTATTAAATTATTTAATTAAAACGTGCGTTGAATTTACAAATTAATGTCGAATATTCTTTTAAAGTAAAATACCTCACTTTAAAGACTTTCCCTATCCTATATTTATATACTTTATATTTCAAATATTATAAACAGTAGTTTAGTCTTAAAACCGGTTTAATGCGGTACAATGTATATTGCAACAAGTTGCTCTAATAGTGGATCTTTCACATTTCGATATAAAATTAGCATGTTTGCAGCGAGTTGTATAACAGCGGCCAACGCAATGTTACACCCGAATTATGTCATATTTGCTTATTTGTTAATCTTTTCATTGCCCAATTGAAGGTAGCGTAAACTGGTGTTTAGCAATTTGTTGCTAACGAGAGTCGAAGGGCTGTTGATATTTAGCTAGTGAGGTAGTGGCATCGACATTGTAACAGTTTTTGATGAGATTAATCATCGCTTATAGTTTTAACAATGATCATAATTATTCTTGTAAATATTAGTCATTATTCAATGGTTGAAAATATTCGCCTTCAAATAAATTTGATGTACACCGGTTTAATGTTCGTGGTTAGATATTTACTTTGCGAATTAACATTAAGCTTAAGCATCGCTGCGTTCTGGAAGACCTTTTACTCAGTCGAATCTATAAATAGAGTGAAATCTGACTATATGTATATCAATTTAAATTGGCTTATGACTATATAACATAGAGTATGTTCACCTTTATCAACCTTATAAAAGCCACAGGCAAAGAATTGTCTTTTTTCATGAAGGTTTTGTAGAAAGTTAGTAAGTGCTCCAATATTAAGATTCTCAAAGTTTTCTGGTCCCTCTCAGCAAAGTACGTATACTTCGCTTTAATTAACGTCCTATCTGATAATATTTCTTCAGTTTTCATTTCGTAGATCCGAAAAGAAGCGCTCGTATTTTATACTCTTCAATATTAACATCCTTTCGTTATTTGTTCCAATCCATTTCTTTGTTTATGTACCTGAAAACATAAATAAACAACTCAATAAATTATTTAAATTAACTCGCAGGCTCATTTCTCTTGGAAAATCGGAGTCAGTACAAGAGATAGCAATATTGTGTTTGTGTATTGTGCGTGCTCGTTACGAAGAACGTTACGTAGAATCTAATAAATTCGGTACAAGATTTTAGGGGTATAATAATGGTCTCTAATCCTGGACTTATTCAAAATGTTATACTGTAATAGGGTCACATTGCTGTGGTCAGTTGTTGCACGTATTGACAGGCAAATAAGGTGTTTTCAACGTCAGACAGTATTAGCGGTAGTCACTTCGCCCAAGATGAACCGATTGTTTTCTTTTATCATTAAATCCGTAACCGATGAACATGACAGATTATTTTGGTCCTAAATAAAAAGGAATAGGGTAACCTCTTCATGTCCCACTGTTGGGCGAAGGCCTCCTTTGTGCAGAGGGTATTAGGGCGTAGTCCACAGACCCCGTTGCGGATTGAGAGATTGTACACATCTTTTTTTTATGTGAAAAGGTAGCGAATGAGCTGGCGGTTCAACTGATTTTAACTGATAACCGCCGCCCATCGACATTTCCAACACCCGTAGAGTTGCAGATGCGTTGCTACCTTTTACTGTGAAATGACTATTGCATGGTCCTACTACATTCTTCGGAATTTTATTATTATTTCTAAAGTATGCAGCTTTCGTCACGATGTTTTCCTTCACCGAGCACGTGAGGATCTTACGGTCCTTTAATACTCCTCTTCAACTTTGTTTAGCCTAGTTAGTATGAGGTTTCCTAAGGAAATATGCGAGTTAAACTTTCTGTGAATCGCTGAGATACAAAGATTTTTATTTTACTTTTAAATCAAACATAGTGTTTCTTACTTTATATTACAATTATACGTCTCCACGTTCATATACACATATGAGTTATTTTGGCAATATTTTCGCTATGAAATTAAAAATTGAATCGTCAGCTAAACTGTTTGGAACGGTGCTTTGTCTTTGTGCATAAAAATATATATCAGTGGTTCTTTAACAATTTCAGTAATATAACTAACATTATAACTATTTTTTCTTCTTAGTTTTAGGAATATGCTAAGCTTGGGAAAGGGAATGGAGCCTACAAAAAAGTTAGTATTTCTGATGGCGTATTTAACATAATGAAAGTTAGTAAAGAGTTACGAATGTGCACTGTGCACATTTAAGAGGTTTTCTCAGATTTTCTACTATGACTGATACACAAGACGAAGAGCTGTGACTAGGCAGTGGTAATATTCATTATTTGGTTAGCGATGGGGAGAATGTTATATCCTTTCCCAGGTTAGCGTTCATTTCAAATAATCAGTTAAATTTCTTTGTTTATCGCTGCATAAATCACAGGTGCACAACAAGAAGCCTTAGTTGTGATTATGCACTCTGCATTGAATATATTCAGATGTGCCCAAGTATTTTACACTAGATTTGGTGATCAGAGCAGATATGGAGTTCGAACTCATTTTCCACGTCACACGATTGGCACAATGTCATAGGCACTCTTTCAGTTTCAATCATCAATAAATCCTACTACTATTATAAAGGCGAAAGTTTGTATGTATGGATGGATGTTTGTTACTTTTTCACGCAAATACTACTGAATGGATTTTAATGAAAGTTTCCAATAATATATCAGTTTATGTATCAGAATAACACATATTTTTGGCTATAATTTTTGGATATAATTATAGTTTTATGTATATCTCTCTTTCTGTCTGAATATCACGCGTTCAGCCTATTCTACGCAGACGTAGTCGCAGGCAGCAGCTAGTATACAATAATAAACAGCAGCTAGCCCATGGAACTGCTAACATTTTCTTCACTGTTGACTGAAATTTTAAATAGGCTTTAGGAATAAAGACAATAATACCATTCCACACTTTAGCCCGGAACCGTGATGGTGTAATGTCAGAACAGCATAGAACTAGAAAGTGCTTTCGCACGAATCCGTGTTGGTGGGTGAAATTCCCAAAGCAGCTGCTAGAACTGAACGCGATCGCGCGTGAACAAGGCAGAGAAACTACCAGAAATCGGTGCGACATTGAAACGGCCGACGGAGCCAAGGGCGCGCCTTCCGCCACGCGTCGGCCTGGGTTTCCACGCGTGGCTGGTAAGTACGTTTTGCAACCGCCCGCGCCGCGGGTTGCACACGGCGAAGTTTCCAGACCGGTTACGCTATGCAACGCGCACCGGGGGCATAAAGAACCGCATAGTTTCTCAAGCTCACGATACGCCGCTGCTCCTCTTACATACAATCATTGCGAGTGTACTCTAAGTATGCTACTATTCGTATATTTAAATTTATACCTGAAGATGTTATTGTAAATCTGCACATACATATTAAGGTACCCATATATATTTAATTAAAATTGCTCTTTAAATATTGCACTATTTTATGATTAAATAATAATAATTCATTTTCTTTGGTCCAAGAGTGAGTAAACAACAAAAGTGTCTATTTTATTAAAACGTTTTGCAAAAATAAATATATAATAAAAAGCATTTTGCCCTAAATATTTTGGGACAAGTTAAGGCAGCATTATTAACAGGTTAAAATCTGGCGTCATTTGAGTTATAGTTCATCTGATATTTGACCATGATCTGTCAAAGCTATTTCCGCTTTATACTTAAAAAATATTTACTTGCATTCAATGTCGCATAAGTTTCTTAGAAGTATAGTTTCCTAGCGTTCATTATTGACCTTTATGTGCCTCTATAAATAACATCATCTGGTGCCGAAAATGGCAGCTGCTGATATTTGAGGCTTCTTCCTATTTTCTTGATCAAACCATTTACAGCATCAGTATTTATGTGTTTTTATGTAAACAGAAGATAAGAAAGATAATGGTGGTATAGAGACTTCAAACAACTATGTATACTTTATATATTGTCTGTTATCTATATTATTGAAGTCTATATATTATTTAAGTCTCACGCGGCGGCGATCTTGAACCCCAGTTTATTACTTTAAACAGAAAATCTTCAATATTAACTCTCTTAAGTTTAGGCACCGTTTCTGACATCTTGACATGTTCATTTCATGTCACATTTCGACATTTAATATGTTTGCTGAAACGATTGCACTAGCCAACGCTGTCCAATTCGTTTGGGGTTAAAAGATAAGATAAGAGAACTTGTGTCATTAATATGCACAATTAATAAATGCTTTGCTACAATGGATAATATGACAATTAGATGATGTCGGTATTGCCAAATCTATCGTAAAGAATTTTGAAGATTATTGAACGGTCTAGGAAAGTAAATGTGTATCTAGTATGCCGAACGTTAGAAACGTGCTCTCAACAAATAAAATCTAAGGCATATGATGCACGCTTCTTGACATAATTTATTCGCTGGGGCGATAAACGTTTATAAATTTAATTGATATCATATGATTTTCGCCTACTAATTGTCGTTATAGTACGTTTAATAATAACTTTAGTGGATATAGTGGACATTTATATTGTCTCTTAAAGGTTTCGCCGAAGACGCCAGCTTTATATTTTTATTTAAATAATAAAAATACAAACAAACAAAATGATTTTTTTTTTCGATTCAAACGTGCTTCACAAGATATTGCAAAAGTTAAATTCAGATGTTTATTTTATGCCTTTCGTTTAAAATATACGTATCGTGTATACGCGTTAACATTTTAGGGAAAGCAAAGAGTAACGAAGTTAAGTTTCCTAATATAAAACATTGTTGCGGAATTGGCCGAAATTTTGTGGTTGCTTAGCAATTACTTTAGAAACAAATCTTAACTATTTGGTTCTCACGGGCGTAACTAAATCTATATAATCTAAGTTTTCTTTATCTCAGTTTAAGGACTGTAGTTTTTTTAATATATAACAGAACATTCATTACTTTATTCGTAACTTAAAATCGAATTGTTGGCTCATTTTGTCTACTTAACATAGATTAATGTTGTGATTTCTCTAGAAAAAGATTAGTGTTGTGATTTCTCTAAGATTGATTAATGTTTTTGGGATGATCGTAACTAGATAACAAAGATATAAATTTTATAATTATTACTTGCTGATACTACTACGACTTTATCATATTAACAATGTGCTTATTATATTACAATCTATTTTATCTAGAACGACAAGACATCATTGATCACGTTGTGCTTATAAAAATCATCGTTTCTTAAAAGATTAATAACTTTACATTAAATGAAGATATCACTATATATAATATTTTAAATAAGGGCCAGACCTGTAAGAATTAAAAATTAGGAGAATTAATTGAAATCTATCCACAGGTTTCTCCGAGATTCGCACACAACGGCATTTTTCTATAATTTTATTTATATAGATAATGGTAAACATACTTATTTATTTATTTATTTATTTTTGTAAACATACACTTATTAACAACTTTTAATTTTGTCTAACATACACTAATATAGTTTAATTATAGTTATATGTCATCTTGTATCTAAAGTATTCTTATAATTCCATATTATTAAGTATTCTTATAATTTTGAGGTATATATTTGAGAGACAGAATAGTACTGTTCCTAGTCAAAGTTATTCTTACATACATAATTTTCAAGTAATGATCAGTAACTAGGCAAAATATAACCTGGAGTTGAGTATCGCTTAGAGACCAAAGCATTGAACATAAAATATCGTCGTCATATGTCTGTATTTTTAAGACAATGTTCTTGGTGACGCAAAATATAAGGAATACCGTAAGGTTATCAATTGGAAACATTGCGGAATGCACACAGAACACGTATCGATGCAAAGTAATGTACAAAGATTTGAGTATTTGAAAGATTCTACCGGCGCATTGCCGAAATTCAAACGATATGTCGATGGCGTAACATCACTACGAAATACGCTTGTCGACATTCGGCGCGAAATGTCACCGCCCGTGGTATGTTTGATTTATACAGGTGTGACCGTAAACTTTAACACACGGTAACATTTAAAAACGAAAAACTACAAAACATGAATAAACTTACTAAAACGACCTCTTTTGTAACTCAATAATTGTATGGTAAACAAAAAAAATGTTTCTTAATATAACGAATTATAGTCGGAATACTAAGTTGGTTCTAAAATTTTTTATTTCTTATCTTATGTATGTATGCGTACATTCCAAAGTAATGAGATGTAATTAAAATTTATCCTTATTATTTTCTGCAAGGGACTGAGAGAAACTGTAATTTTTTGTTCCATCACCACCAAAATTTTGCAAATTTTTCAAAATATGCCATTGAATCTTAACAAGAAATAGAAATTGGGTAATTAAAGTAACCTAAACCTAACTTAATATCATGTAAAGAGTTGCTGAAATTATACCTGCAAAGATTTACAGGTACAGCAGTCGCTACAATACATATATTAGGACTATCAGGACCTTAGTTAAGTAGGTAAGTAAATAAGTAAAAGTAATATTATTAACATTAATTGTCGCCATTGAAATGAACAACTAACCTGTATCGAGACACTTGTTTGCTATGTTATTTTACTGTCATTCACTCATAACAGGGACTTATTGGCTATGTGAGTGTCACGAGCGATAAATAATAAAAGTTCAACGGTTGCGGTGTCTGCACTTGATTATAATTAATACTGCGCATTTTATTCCCAGACTGAAGAAAAAGTTATGTATGTAATTTAAATTATAACATTAAGTGGAAGGAGCATTAATAACGATTTTGAATGATAAAATTAGTGCCTTTAGATTTTAATACAATTAGACAATATTAATAATATCCTCAAAAATGGTATCACTCACCTAAATGTATGTACACAAATCGTAAATGACTAGTAGATTGCAGAACGTTTCAAACCAAATAAAATCACTTTAAGAGTTCATTCGTAAAAAGTCCAATTCAAGCACTCCTGATTCCGAATCCGAAAAACTTTCGACTCTCCGACGACGTCGTTGATATAGAAGACGTGTTACTACTTTTTCTCGACAGAACATTTTTTCGAACGTTGCTCTTCGAATCGAAGAATCTGTCCAACACCTGCCTTATGGTAGAGTGCTTTCGGTCGAAAGGATTGGGGAACATGGTCGCTAGTTCACCGCCCGCTGTGTACTGTGGCTTAATGCGTGCGTTGCAGCCATCGAGTGCGTGAGAGGGGCGTTGCAAAATAGTAGGGGTCAAGTTCAAGTTGTTTTTCTGCTCGCCAGTCTCGTAACGTGGCATATTTAAGGTTTCCACATGTCGGAAGAGATTCTAAATTACTTACCTAATAATCAGTTTCAATGCTATTCCGTTTTTAAATAGCACAAGCTTACCTGTCTAATAAATAATTATATAAGGATATGAAACTATTACACGGTTTTTCGGTCATCAAGACTTCATCATGTTTAGTTTTAATTTAGATTCTCGGCTTAGCACTGCAAGTCATCACTGGATGGACACGTGACGGATGGCTTTACAAGTCCTAATGTCAATGTTCTTGATGGTCATCTAAGGACTACTACTTTACAAGATTGTTATTTTCAGCATATAAAATATAACCTCCCGTATCATTCGAGTTAAACGGAGTAGGTAGGGATGGCGTTTTCGAGCCTAAGTGAGCGCAGGTGTTGAGCTAGTTACCTTGCATCGTGCACAGATTGTAAACTAAGAATTTTGCATTTAAAATCAGAAAATATGTCACAATAGTACGGATGGTTTATTGTTTCTGACCATGTATCTTATTTGTATTATAAACCATGTATAGCGTGTTGTTTACACGGTTCTTTAAATCTTTTTCTATTATATAAGAGACCACATTCATAGTTAACTTCTGTACCTTGTGCTATCCAGACATTTTCTCACGGTAGCTAATTGTAAAAGATTCACCACTGAAATACAATTAAAAAATTACTTATAAGTATAAGTAATTTTTTTATATGCTGTATGGCTCAAAGTGTTATTATGACTATGAACAACTGCTATATCAAATAAAGCTAAAGTCTTACACCCCTCTAATTTTATCGTAAATGTCATTTTAAGTTTTAAAAAAAGGTGTTCTGAGAATGCTTTTTTCTTAACAAACGTCTAACGTGTTCCTAGAATACATTAACTCAATAAAATCTGAAACTGTTTTTAAGTATTCTTTGTCTTATGCAAGCAATTAATGTTTTATAATACCTTATGTCAGACGATTTTGCTAAAATACTTCCTTATGTGCGAAAACATAGATGTATGAGAAGATAGGGGTCAAAAGACGTAAACATCTGTCTTTGTTTTTAATCAGACTGTTTGAGCTCACCTACAATCCGTATACAATTTGTAATACGATACTCAGACTGTTGACTTATCTAATGATTTAGGATAATATAATATTGATAATAGAACGTAGAGGATATCTTCACTACATAGTATAAAACAAAGTCGTCCCGCTGTCTGTCTGTTCCTATGTATGCTTACATCTTTAAAACTACCCAACGGATCTTGATGCGGTTTTTATTATTAGATAGAGGGATTCCAGAGGAAGGTTTATAGGCCGATAGTAGTATACATAGTATATAGGCCGGGTCGCTAGTTGATAAAAATCTCTTGATCTCTTTTAATAATCGTTTTTTATTATTGATAACAACACTGATTAAAAGGTACAGTGAAAGAAGGGGTGCAATGGGGATGGAGTTGGAGATGGTCTTCAAATCCATTATCACGTGAGATTAAAACATGTTTTTTTCCTCGTATATGTCTCTACTACGTGGCTTTTTCTTATAAGTATGGTCATACATTAGGTATATTTTTTTATGTAAGAAGGTGGCAACCTAATTCGCGGTTCAGCTGATGTTAAGTAATAACCACCGCCCATTGATATGTGCAACACACGTAGAGTTTAAGATGCGTTGCCACCTTTAAGTGGGCCGCGGCTTTGTAATCTCAAATTCGTCTGCCTAGAGAAGATGTACAAATCACCCTCTAGGGTAAACTCAGGAGTTGGCGCTGTGCTATGGAAAGAAATTTCTGGACCGGGACATGAGCAAATCTCAGATCTATGTGACCGCAACCATTCGATTTCGCCTCGATATCTAGATACGTGGAAAAAGAAAATAACAAAAAAAAAGACAAAAATAATTTTCGAAAAGATGTAATGTTGCATTTCATCGTTATGATAATTTCAGCATGTTTCTTCAGTCCACTGTACATTTTCAACAAATAAACAACTGCCACGAAGGACGATCCTGAGCCACCTATATTCTTTGACGTTTCACACGTCCACAGGTCATCACTCCATCTAAAGAAGGGTCGTCCTACACTACGACATCCAATACGGAGCTGCCACTCGAAAACCTTTCCTCTCCAACGGTCATTGGTTCTTCGAGCTTTATGGTTGGGCCATTAACACTTCGCTCTACTAAGCCTCTGAGATGTTGTTTACCTTTGTTGTACTTCGCATATCTTAATTGCGAACTTTATTACGTACAGAAATTCCCATCACAGCCTGCTCTAGCAACGAAGTACCAAATCTCAGTCCCGTAAGTCGTCACTGCTAACACACATTGAAGACTAGTCTTCAAAGTGTGTTTGTGTGTGTGTGTATTGAAGGCGAAAAGATTCCCGAATGCTACCCATCCAAGTTGGATTCACGGACTGAACTCTGCTTCCAAGTTAGACTTATCTAACCGGACTAACTGTCCTGGGTACTCGTCAACAACTGCGAGCATAGTGCTCTCACGAACAACCGGTATAGGCGTGACATGAACATTGGACATGATCTTCGTCTTGTCCATGTTCATCTTAACGCAGAGCTTTAAGTTAAGCGTAGTAGATAACATCGTGTTCAAAAAAACATGTCAAATATTACGACGAGTTAGAAGGCAAATATGAATAAATTTAAATAATACATTGAATTTCTATCATTTTCTTAGATGTATGCAGCAGATGACCCTAGTAATGCCTACAATAAATTTAAAGAAACATAATAAATCTATTATTTAATATCCCATTAATACTATAACTAACAAATTTAAGAAACGAGTCAAAAGGCGCGTTAAAAATATCAAATTATATTCAAATGTTCAAAGATCACTGAGAAAAATGTTATGTGCTGCTACAGTAAATTAACATCTGAAATGTTTGTACTTTCAAACACAACATATTTAAAATAGATCTAATGATTCTAGTGGGAAAAAAATAACACTTAAAGTAACAAACTTTTTATATGAATCAGTTTTAATATTAGTAGGTAAGTATTAAAGTAAGTATATCAGTAAGCAAGTATTAAAGGTATGATAGATGTTGATTTATTCTCTGAACTATGAGGGAAGCCGCGGCTACTGGGTAGTTTTAAAAAGTGAAAAATACATTTTTTTTAAACAACGTTTATTTCACTATGTTAGTCTCCTTTGTGGCCCAAACACTTGTTTCAGCGAGTGGAAAAAAAAGAACGAATAAATCGTAAAAATACGTTTTGTCGAGTTCTTCAAAACTCATTTGTTAAAAATGTTTGCCCCCTAAGCCATCTTTTCAGATTTGGGAATAGGTAATCATGGCACGGAGCTAGGTCCGGCGAATACGTAGCATGCGGAACCAGTTCGAAGCCCAACTCGTAGATTTTGGCCATTGCAATAGCTGACGTGTGAACTGGGGCTGTCTTGATGAAGAAAGACTTTCTTGGGGGGACAATTTTGGTCGTTTTTCCAACAATTCGGGATTAAAACGGTCCAATAACTCTGCGTAATAACGGCCAGTGATAGTTTTTCCCTTTTTCAAGTAATCAATCATAATAATTCCTTCGCCCTCCCAGAAGACTGTCGCCATCACCTTTCCAGCCGACAAAACAGTCTTGACCTTTTTTGGGGCACGTTCACCAATCGCCATCGATTATTTTGATTGCTGTTTGGATTCAGGTGTATAATGATGGACTCAAGTTTCGTCCATAGTGAAAAATCGACTCAAAAAATTCCGAGAATACGCTTCATCATATCCAAACACAGTAAACATAACATAAGTAGCACCCATCGTGCAGACAGCTTAGTCATACCCAAATCTCTATGCAGGTTTTTATGTACTCGATCAGTGGAGATGCCTGTATTCTCAGCTATTTTATGCATCTTCACTTGGTCGTCTGGTACCATATTATGGACTTCTTTAAGAACATCCTCAGTAGTAGTGACTTCGATTGGGCAATCAGCGCGTGGAGCATCAGATGTGTTTGACCAATCACGTTTAAAATCATTTATCCTGTTACTAACAGTCTGCCAACGTTGATGCGTTAGTGGCATGAACAGAATTAAGTTCAGTTTTTATTGTGGCAGCACTGCAACCCTTCATAATTTTTTTTAAAACGGCATTAAATTCAGATCTTTCCATAGTTGTTGAAAATTTGTGTTTGTTCCTGCCAGTGTTAATGCCATTTACCAGAAAAAAAGGTTTTATAAATAGTTTTTAAAAGGAAATCAAACAGCCGTTGTATGAAAACACAAAATTTTGTAAAAATGTAGTCATAACTTTAATACGATTTCTAACTATTATTAAGAGTTGAAATTCATTTAAGCCTACTGTTAGCACATGCTTTAAGCATTCCACGTCACGGGTAATGGTCAATTACCATTTAAATGTTGTGTTAAAAAAACATGGGATCAAGGTCGGCAAGATTCATGCCCTATGACATAGTTGAATGGCTGTAACTGAGGTGCAGTAAATTTCTTGCGATAATTACAGTGTATAAACGGAGAAGCTAAGACGACTTTTAATCCTTAGAGATGTAAATGTGATGATATTAAATACTTGTGTCATGGTGTTTGTAACTCCTCCGAAACGACTCAACCGATTTTCGTGAAATTTTGTGTGCATATCGGCCAGGGTGGAGAATCGGAGAACATCTATTTTCATCCCCCTAAATTTTAAGGGTAGTCCACCCCAAACATTTTTTTCTACCCTACGAATAATTTATATGGCAAAACAACGTTTGCTTGGTCAGCTAGTTAAATATAAATAAAAAGAGGGAATTATTGAAATTTTGAATAATTTTTATATGTACATATTCAGGAAAAAATGGTGGCACCGTGACCAAGCTTTTGGCTTCAGTTTCGGGAGTTTTGAGTTCGATTCCCACACAAGTGAGACCTACAGATGTTTGTCCGGATCTTGGTGTTTGTTCCCAAGGTTCCCACGTCATGCATGACGTCGTGAAAAACCTAGCAAAACCATTTATAACATGATTCATATGTTGTGACAGACTTAACACAAATTACTTT